CTCCACTTTATGGACAATAGCACAACAATGAAGAACTTCTTTTATACAGAGAAAATACAAATATGAATTCTAATTTAAGCAAGGGGCAGTAAGGTGCACAGGTTCCAAATGCCCGTGTAATATTTAAAATTGTAACACAAGTTTTAGTTTGGGATAATCAAGTTTTACATAAAGTGTTCCAGTGTTATCTCAGCCTTTGTTGCAGGGTATGTGCAGTTAAGTATCTATGTATGTAAGCCCACTGTCAATTCTTCAGCACTAAAGTAACATGCAATACTAATTAAACAAGAAATGCAGTCAGTTTTGAGGAAGAAGACAACATTGTATCAACTGTATAACCCATCTGGTAAAAATGAATTAAACCATTATGGTATTATCCTATAGAACTCTTCATTACATCCACAAGGTTTGTCTTGGAAGAAAGACATTCAGGCTGGAATTAAAAAAAAATGCTCCATCTTCAAATTCCAACACACATACACAAAACACTCTTACTAACACACTTAAATCCCTATGGATTCTTACTGGCATTATAGTATTGTTCTGCAAGTAACCCTGTGGTGCTGAGTGCTACATATTACTTTTTAAATATCACATGGAAACAAAACATGGTAATGATTACATCATGGCGACAAAGTAACATCAAAAATAACTACAACATTGAGCTTCCCATGAAATATGCACATTCTTCCTCCACGAAAAACAAAATCACAACATTTCACGTTAAAGAAGCAACAAAAAGATGTACAATTATTCCCTTTTACTATAGAGGTGCTATGGAACTGCACTCTTTGATTTATGATCATTTTCTTTATCCTGAAAGGAGTTTGTATATATAAAGTGTGTGTATATATATATATATATATATATATATGATTTATGATCATTTCCTTTATCCTGAAGGATATATATATATAAAATTTATATTTATATATATATATATTTATATATATCATTTATATTTTTATATGTATAATTATTTATATATATATATATTATTTCTGATCATTTCCTTTATCCTGAAAGGAGTTCACTTAACACAAAGATTTAGTACATATATAAAGTGTATATATATATATATGTACACACACTTTATATATATATATATATATATGTATACACTATATATTCATATATATGTAGAATATATATAGTATGTATATGTATGTATATGTGTGTGTATATATATATATACACACACACACATATATACATATATATATATATACACACATATATATACATATACATATATATAAATATATATATAAATATATATATAAATATAAATATATATAGATATAGATATAGATATAGATATAGATATAGATATAGATATAGATATAGATATAGATATAGATATAGATATAGATATAAAGTGGCATGGAGGTTTAACCTATGTTTTATTTGAATCTATGCCATCAACTCTAGGGAAAAAATGCTTTTGCAAATGAGAGCCTTCCAGCAGTGAGTTGCCCAGGAAGGCCCCTGAGCACACACACCCCAGGAGCAAACTGAAGCTGTACCTGAGTGGAGTTGGATAGTTGGTTTTTCCACGGCTCCTCTGCGCTGCTGGTCAGGTTTGTGCGGTTATGAGGTAGAGAGAGTGCGTTTCGCTGCAGGTAAGGCACGTTTCCATTACTTCCACTTTCTGTTATGTGATTATTGCCTATCAAAATAGTGTCTGTACTACCCAGCGTTCTTGCTGTGCTGCAGGGAACGGGGCCTGCTGGAAAGGGTCCATTAGCCAGAGGCTGCCCGGGGCAGGCGGGACGGATTCCACGCTGAGCGACGTTAGGCACTCTGGTCAGAGCAACCTGAGGCTGCTGGCCAGAGACAGAGTTTGTAGGCAGTGATGAATCAGCTGTTGGCCCGTTAGGAATTCCAGTAGATCGTACCTGTGCAACTCCTGTTTGTCTGATCTAATGGAACATGAACAAAGCACAACAACGTTGGCTGCAGAACTGAGAAAGGAAGGGTCGTACAAGGTTTGTGTACTTTACTGCACTGGTCAGTTCCAATTTTATACTCATTTTAAGATCTTTACAGTTGCTTTTGAGAACTGTCAGGCTCATAAAAATGCTGAGTAAATGTTAAGTAAAACTATCAGTACACTTTTTTTCTTGGCCATTCAGTCTGAATGTTTTATTGCTGATTCTGGACAGAGAGGGAGAGAGAAGTGAACAATGACAGGACGAGAGAAAAGCTGTTACTACAGCCAAGTGTTTTCAAGCAGAACTGCTTTTAGATATGTCCACTCACATTACTTTGAAAATGTGGCTTGAAAACTTTTACATTAACCAGCTGCCCTATAATAAAACACATCCAAACTCATTATGTTTCAACCACTAATCCACAACTATCCTTTATCCAAAAAAAAATTACCATAAAACAGCAAAGGACACAACAACTCTGTACAGCAGAAATTCTTTAGAATTCTAGAAACACAACAGTCTGCATTACTGACAAAAGTGTTGTAGGTAAGAAAAATATTTTTGTTCTCACCTGCTGGTGTTGCTGCATCAAGACAAACTGACTCTCCAGCTGTTCCAGCATAAGTTTCTGTGCTGGATTTAGATTATTTCGGTTTGCACGCAGCTGTTCCAAGTGCTAAAAAAAACCAGCAGTGTGGTTCATAATCATTAAAATTGCATGGGCTTTTTAATAAATTTCTTGCATAAAATACTAAAAAGTATCCATGAAGGTAAGACTTAGAAAGCTGAAAATAATCTAGGTTTCTGTTACAGACTCAAACATCTTTCCATACATTCTCTTGCAACCAAACCTTATTAGAAGTTATTAAAACTAAAGAGACTCTGTAAATTATTTGAGTGTATAATTATGACTGCCACACTAAAATTAAGTGTGCTAGTACCATAAAAGAAAACTACATTCAAGTGTGATTATATAGAATTCTTATCATAATTATGTACATTTTAACACTTTTTGTATTGTGCTATTCTTTTATTACTACTGTTCATCACAAAGTGAATTAAACCTATAGGCACACATGAAAAATTATCCTGAAAATATAAAAACAAATCCAGAAAATTCTATGATTTAATTAGCAAGAGCAATATCTTAAGTTACGATATTGATCTTGTTTGCAACTGATAAATTTAGGTATCTATCATCAAAAATCTGATCTCTTTACTCATTTAAAAACACTCAGCACCCTGCAACATTCTACCAGTAAATCTGCTGCTGCTAAGTGGTGTGACTTAAAAAGCAGATGAAGATGGTGCATGCCAAAATCCCTGGATTAACAGTACCTGCCATTCCGAACTCCCTCTGGAGGGGAGTGCAATAAAAAAAAATAAATATATATATATATATACACACACACACATATATGCATGTGTATGTAACATGCCATATCCATCCAGCCCTTGAATTGCCAATTTTGAAAGGCCAACTTTGAAGATGCAATAAAGGCTTTTTTATTCGCTCTCCTCTTGCATCATACATTTTTGGCTTTCCTTTTTATATGTGCTGGAACCTTGTCAAGCTATTGCCAGCACATCCAGTCTACTGTACTCAAGAGAGGCCTACTGAGGTTCTGCTTAGAGAAGGAAGTTGGATCTGGAAAAAGGTGAGAATGAAAAGGGGAAAAAGTAGTCAAATATAAAATAAGCAGAGAGAAATAATGAGAATGCTTGGAGAGAGAGAGAGAGAATGACTGAGGAAGAACCAAAGGGGTGGGGAGGCAGGAGAAGGAGGGAGGGAAAATTATACAGTATAATAAAGCCAATATTGTTCAGACAGAGAAACAGCTGAAGAACTGTATTGGAATTGAGGGGAACATTGCTCAGTTAATGAGAATGCTTTCTGCCTCTGCACTGTGCTCCCTTTCTGTTTCTCTTTGCATCCAAAGCATGTGCAATGCATGGGTAAAATTTTCCAGCAGGGTCTTATTTTCAATATATGCAATTCCTGCTGAACTCACTGCATGCCCTAATGAAGTGACAACAAAATTTCCTGACAAAAACCACCCAAAATAAGATTTCCAAACTAAAATCTAGCATTTCATATAATTGTATTAGGTGACATGTAATACAGAAAAGCAGCAGCAGATTTCATTTGAGTAATCATTTCATAGAATATGCTTATTTGTTTATGCAATTTGATATAAGAAGCAACCTCAGAGGAAGGGATGATATTACAACAATACTCCTACACCTCTTTCAATATCACCCACACTACAGCAAGTCACAAAACTCACTTTGCACACCGGTGTGACAATTTGCACATCTGTCTTTAAAACACCATAAGAAAAAAGAGTCATTGTATGTACTTCATAAATTATAGAATTCATACAATATAAGTGTTCAGCCTCTGCTAGAGATCATTTAGTTTACTAGAACTTTTCTCACACAGAGAGGCCACAAATATTAGAACCTGAACTATACCCTGGGAAGTATTTTACAGTGAATTTCAAGAATGTGAAACCAGAACACGTCCCAGGTTTATTTTCTTCAAAGGAAGAAGGAAAGAAACAAAATATTTAACAGAGCTTCTGAAGATCCCCCATACATACCTGTAATTTCTGTGGTGTCAAGCACCAAGAATGAATTTGTTGCTGTACAGGAGGATGTGACACTGTATGGCCACTGCTCCAAACATCTGAAGTATTCTGAGAGAAAAGGTTACATTAAAATGTGTGACTATCAAAGGGCCAACATAATTTCTTTTACTATCTAGATTTTAACTTATTTATGAAAGAACTAGTAATTGTTTCAAGAATATTAATATATAATAGCAAGAATGTACTAAAATAACAAAGTCTCATTCTACCATTCCCAACAGTATCAGAGTAATCTGAGGAAAAAGATAATGATACCTAATACCATAAGGAGAAACAAGCAAATCAAATTATGCAATTAACTTAAATGTATGCTACTTTTAAAACTGAATACTTTATCTACTGTAACACTACTACATGATGATGAAACACTTGAATTCTAAATATAAGCAAAGGCAATAGACAGGATGACATGATTGTCTCCCTCTCAATCTCAGACTACAACTGTACTTCACTGACACAACTACAACTGCAGTATAGTGCCATCAATGTGCACTGCCCTTATGCACCTCCTGCCTAAGCTGGAATCTGATTAAACACACCGCTGAAAAATGTTTTTTAAAATTTCTAAAAACATTCCCCACCTTGATGCCAAAGGATTAAAATTTACAGCACAAATTCTGTGCATGCTGTATCATTTCAATGCATATTTTCCATATAATTTTGGTAGGGGGCTCTAGTTCATCAGAATATATACCTTTGTTGGACTAGATGTTCTTTTCCTCTTGGCAGGACTGGTCAGGTCATCTACTTGGCTAGAAGGAATCATGTGTAGTGGCAAGGATTGCTGTGAAATTGGTGTTTGAGTGAGGCCTAGTACAGGTTCAGTATTTGGATGATGAGGTTTACAAGCCTAAGAATCACAGAAGGAAGACAAAAATATGGTTCTATATATTCTTAATGCTTTCCTTTCAATTTTATAATTTTAACAGCCCACATACATTAAAAGGGCCGAGTAGATATTCTGAAGCTGATCTCAATAACTGAAAAATCAGTTTCCATATGGTCATCAATGGAGGAATGTGTACCTTTCACGGGATTATTAAACCACTGCAGCATTTCTATTTAAGATGAAATCTTTTAAAATCATGAAAATCCACAAAGGTTCTAAATTGGTACCCCCATATTTCTCCCACATTATAGGGAGCTCCTTGATCTAATATCCCTCTGCAAATAAATCAAAGGCTTCTTTTAATAAAAGCCAATCCTGTGCTCAATAAAATAAGCTTGACCACTACAGATTGTAAAGAACCCTTAAAGCTGGGCACCTGCAGAACATAACCCAACTTCTCACCTGCTGTGCTGTGTTCATGGCACCCTGCCTGGAGGTAAGCTCTGCGGGGATTGGTAGGCTCCATGCCTCCTCAATACTAGGAAGTAATTTAGTTTTATTCTGTAGACTACCTTGTGGAAGGTTACACAACTGAGCCTAGGAAAAATTATGTAAAAAGCAAATTTAACACAAGCCTACTTTAGTAAGAGCAAGTCCATGAAATCTTCCTAAATGCTGTAGCTAATTATGTCTTAAAGAGAGGACAGATTTAAAATTTTGGGGTTTAGAAAGGTGCTAGGTATAAAGAGGGTAACCAGAATATAAACCTTTGTGAGAATCAGAACAAAGATGAGCTCTGGATTCAGAGGTCTCATAATTCCTTTTTTCTGAAATTGCAAACAAGAGTGAAAGATAGTGTGGTGCGTATTCTCACTATATGTTATGAGAACTTAAAAATGTAGACAAATACAAAGAAAAAAGCAAAACGATGTAAAACAGTATGCTTTGATTAAATGTGCAAAATAGGGTTTATAAGGAATTAAGTTCCACTTAAAAATGAAGAAATAAAATATTACAGGCTATGATATGCTTACAGTACACATGAAAACAGGTTAAACACACCACAAACAACTGCAAGTTAAACTCCAAGTGTGTGACTTCTCCCCTCCCCTCTGCTGTGTGTTTGAAGAGCTTTTCCCCTGCTTAAAACATTCGTTTTACCTGTAAATACTTTATCCGTGCTGCAAGTGCAGAGGTATTACTACAATTTTTGCTCCTAGTTGCATTTAAGTAGCATTTAATGGCATCCTGAGGCTGGTTGCAGGACTCATAGAGTGTGCCTAGGTCCATCCAGGCTGCAGCATGGCCATGGTCCAATTGTACAGCACAGATATAGGCCTGTAAAGCATCCATAGGCTGATTTTGCTGTTGGTACAGCACACTGAATAGAAAGATTAGTGAAGTTGAGAATTAATAACAAAGTAAAGACACAGGCAACTCAAATATAAACATCCCTCCCCAACCCCTTAATAAATCTTAGCATTATGTAAACCCCAGTTATAAGAAGAAATATATGGAACTTTAACATTGTATGTAACATTTTCAGTATTTTAAAACACTGACAAAGCAAATATTAATTCATTATTTAAACTTTAAATCAGACAAGTCTGACAACATGGGTTGTAAATAAAAAAAAACTTTACAGTCCCCCTGAGTTCACAAAAAGCTGATATTCTTTATTTATATATATTAGCATGGAATTATATCATTGTATTATCCTGTATCATTCTTACCCTATTGAACACCATGTATCTGCACTTGCTTCTGATTTATCAATAGATTGCCTATAAGATATAAAGGCATCCTGAACTTTCCCAATACTTGAATAGCACCTGGGAGAAGAAAAGAAAGAGCTTTGGTAGTATTTATAGAAGGGAATCATTGAGCATGGCTTACTAAGACTGATCTGATAAATGTTAAGTCATGCAAATACACACTCAACATTTGCTGTTTCTGAATGCCAGGCACAAGCAAACTCCAACATCTCAACATGTATTACTAATTAGTTATTTAAGCCCCCCAAATCTACTTAAACCCTGGATTACTACATTTCTAAGGAAAACAAGTCATCCCACATTTGGTAGATTTGCATTTCTTTCACTGGTGATACCTTATCAGTCAATAAAAACAGTATTTATCTACAGATAGCATTACAGTGAAACAATTAAGTTACCTATTTCATCAAACAAATGGTTATAAAACTTAAAGTTCTACAAAACAGAATTACTGAGAGATACTGACCAACTCCATCAGGATGGTCCCTGACTGCCTGGGAGGCTTTTTATGTGCATTTCTTCATCTCAATCATATTTAAATAATTAACAATCCAGTTATTTGTACTTCATATACAAAGCATCAAATTTTGTAAAATGTTGTGTGATTCTGTATTTTTTACGTCTTACTTTAATTCCTCATGTACAAATTCAGAAGTATTCTGGCATTAAATAGAACTACAGTTATACCACAGGGAACAATACCTACAGCTCTAAAATTAAAAGCTCCAAATAAAGCCAAGATCAAATATCCATCTATATATATTTACTAGTTTAATCAACAATAACTGTGTCCTGTATCATTTGTAACAACTTTCCCTGTTGGAAAAAGAACCGACAACTTTCAAAACAAATAAATAACAATAGTAAATTTATTCTAGTAAATAATACAAAACAAGCAGAATAGTAGAGGCAAATGTTTGTCAAACATGCTACACCCTTTCAAGAGTTTTTGAGGCACGCTAGGACATGAATACAATAAAACATAGCATTTCTTTGCCTAAAATCATCCATGAAGTCTGAATACAGTGTTTCAGGAGATTGTTTTAATGCCAATCTAACCCAATGTCCAACAGACACGTTTCACTCTGCCTGGGTATCACACACACAAAGCCTCTCATTAGGGCAGCACTAACATTAGGCCCCCACAAAACTTTGGCAGATGGAGTTTTTCCAGTGGGAGACAAGGGAGGTAGTGATGTATTTTGAAAGACAGCTTTGACCAACTTGTTATCTGATTTGGACAAGCAGCAGAGGAAGGAACAGCACAAGGGAATACATGAGGAGGGGAAAAAAGAGTGAAGGCACAACCCCATAACCCTGTTCTTCTGCCAGAGTATGGACTGGAGAAATGGGGCACAGAAACATTTTTGTTCTTGTCCTCCCTGTAAAGCAAAACAGGTGCTCCCACTGAATTTACCACCCCATTTCCTGAATTCTCCCCTTTGTCTGCAGGGTCCTAGGCTTCACCCTGACCACCTGAGAGCAGCTGCACGCGTGGAGGAACTCCAGCTCCACCCTGCCTGAGAACTCAACTTCCTCAAGGCACCTGGAATGGGACTACTGAAGAAAAATCCAGGATTTTAGCTCAGTGGAAGATAAGATGCACAAGATGATCCCTGGCTCATTTTCCCTTTTCCCTCCATGCTTGCCCTGCCCCTCTGCCCCACACACTCAGTGCTGGCTGGAGATCCCTGTCTTACAGGAACAGCTGGAGCAATATTATGAGCATGACAAAATCAAAAATGGGTTCCAGCTGTATGTGACCAGAATCCCCAAGAATGTCAGCTGAAGACACTGAGGTTAGGATATTCATTTTATTTTTGCCTTGTTCTTTTTAAAGGTATTCCTCAATAGAACTGATGTGTTCACATATGGACTTGAATTGCCCTCAAAGCTTTCTCCAAAACCTGAGTATTTCAATAGTTACTGCTGGCTTAAGTGAAGTACTCAATATTCTTAAAAAGATGACCAGAAACACTCATCAAATTTGTATGATTTACATCTGGGAATGTTATTTTTTAAATTAAAAAATACTGTCAAAGGCTACAAAATTAATTGACCACTTAAATAGATATTAGAATGGATCAGTCTGAGCCATACATTGCTGTGCATGCCCTTTAAAAATAGATGTCTGCCTAGGAAAATATTTGTATTTCAGTGCAAAACCTGAGATTAGGAGGGAGATTCTGAGAAAATAAAGAGAGAAAGAATTATGAAAAAGGTATGAAGAAAAATAACAACATTCAGAGAGGATTTACAAAAAAGAGGGAGAGAAACAGGTAAAGGCAGGCTGGATATATTCAGATTACTGTAAATGTGTAGATTGAATAATAACTACAAAAAAGCAGAGCCACTTGGGTAACATACTTCATTTCAACTTCTAATCTTTGTTCACCCCAAATATGTTAGCACCTTGTCTTTTCATACACTTCCCAGAAAACTTAAGACTTCAGTAGATATATACATACTTTCCCTTCATTTTTCCTCTGACAGGATTAAGAAAAACAGCGTAAGATACTCACAATAATGAGTATCCTCAAAAAAATTTACCAATATAGTTACGGTGACTATAAAATCTTTTCTTACCTTCCAAGGAAATACCAGGATTGACCAGAATTTGGATCTGCTTCTAGAGATTTCTGGAGATACTGTATAGCATAGCTTTCCTTGGTTGCCTTGTCTCCAAGCTGATCCACGGTGTGATGCATCCAGCCTGCAAAAACAATCCACAGATGGGAGAAGTGAAATCCCCCAAGATCATTGAATAATCTGGCACAGCAGGCCTTTGTAGCATTGGTGTCTCTTTAAAAACAAGAATATCAAGCAATAAAGCCACTTATACATACATTACAAAGTTTTAAAAACTTTTAAAAGTTCTATACTAAAATTCCAGGACAAAAAAGACTCAAAATTACTTTCAAGTAGTTTTAAAGCACTTTTTTGGGTTTAAATAATTTTCTAAGAGATAAGGAGCACAATTATGAACTGCTCAATCTTCTACTAAAAAAGTGAATATTAATGTCTTTCCTCCTCTGAACACAGATACCTTCCCTGACATTGTGAAAAATGCCACCATTCTCCCTGTCACACATAGCAATTATGGTTTTTATACATACATATATATAAAAAACATGTGTATTATCTACATATTATCTTGTTTACTCTTTTTCTTCTAAATCCTTGTGTTTGTCCCATATCTACATTTGGGCTAAGAATTTTTGCATCTCCAATTGAATCTTTCTTATATTGTCATTTCCTCCTCATTAATACAACGTATCTTCCATTCACCTTGACAAATGCCATCACCTCTCATCTACATAACAAATTAATCTAACCACACACGTCATATTCCTTCAAATGCCTTTTCTTCTTTCATTACATTAGACAAATTATTCATCCCCACTTTAAAGGCCTCCTACAACCCATCCTCCCCAATAATATTTTACATGCTATTAAAATGCATTTCTGCTCTAGCACTGATGCAAGGCTCGGTTACCACTTCAAACAAAGCACCTTCATCACCTTCTCCAGCTGTTCCTCATCTGCCTCCAAGCTCAGATGGAATTCCTTCAAGGAGCCACAAAACCATCTCACTGCTGTTCAAACAGTGAGTACAAACAAGGAAATCTTTTGTGGCCAGCAGCTGGCTTGCTGAAATCACTGCATACCACAGGGCTCAGCAGTGTCTTGCTGTTTGCTCAATAGCCATGTATTTGTCTTAACAAGCCACTGCTTTTCAGAAAACATTGTAAAATGTAAGATGTGACAGAAGACTGTCCCTATCACACCCATAAACAGCCCCTTGAGGAACACTGTGACACCAATTTCATAAACTTTGTCTAAAGTTCTGGTTAATGACAGAGTTGAGCACACACCTGCACTGCCTGTCCATTTAAAACTTCTGAGAGATAAACATTCAGCACCCTAAATTTGTGCTTTTTGATAAAGTCTAACTACATGGACAAGCAAGACTGAGAAGAACTGATGGGTATTTGCAGGTTCACTTTACTCTCTGTAATTACACTTTCCTTTATGATTTTTATTCTACCTGTTTGATACAGCTCATTTTTTATTCCATGGGCTCATATTTGTTAACAGACACCACACTTCTGCAAATGGAATGCTAACTTCCAAACTCTAACAAAGGCAGTAGAAAACAAAATCTCAGCTACTGAACACATTTGCCTGAGGTGGTCTCAGAAATATCACTTGAAAATTATGGTCACAAGCAGAAGCTGGAATATTTCATGGACTGCAAGAAATGTCAGGTAAGGAGTCAAGTGGTTACAGTGCTGGAAAAAGTATTTTATCTTGACTGAAAATTGATCAACTAAAAAATTTACCAGTCAGGGCAAAGAGAAAATAAAACACCCCAGTGATTTTTGCAGTCACACAACACAACTATGTGTCACTAAATTAATAAACAAGCTATGATTTTGATTCCAATACCAAGCCTCTGAAGTTCTTCAGCATACAGAAAATACTCATGGCTTTAAGAAAAAAAGGCTTCTCTGAGTCTGGTTATTGGAAATCACCTGAGTAACTACGTTAAGGATTTATATACCAGGTGCTGTTCCAGACAAAGCTTGAGATAAAGATAATAGTAAAGGAATTATGAACAATGGTAAAAAAAGGCATTAAACAATTTCCTTTATCTTTAGAAATGTTGTGTGCCTATTTTCTGTTTCATCAGAACCTTGCTGGATTGAAAGATAACATGTTGTATCTTTGTGAGATCTTTACTGAGGTTCACTGATAAAAAAGAACAAGCCTATTTCTAGAAGACAGAAATAAGAACCAGCAATCCCTATCTGGCTTCTCTGCTGAAACAAGGGCTGCTTCCCAATTTTATCTTCCTGCACAGGGAGTTGAAAAAGGCAGAAAGCAAGAAAGGGAGAGCAAACAAAAGTTTTCCACTAGAATAACACAGGCAGGGGAAACTGGATCTGTTCTTAAGCATAAAATTAAGAATGTACATAAAGAAGGTGATGGAAAACCCCTAAGCTGTGCAGTTTCCCATTTGCAAGACTTATCTCCAACTCTCAACCAGAATAATTGTCTACTTTTCCACTGCTGGGACATTTTTAATATGATAAACCAAACCACAGACCTTGTCCACACATCACATATGCTCCATGCTCTTTTGCAGGTCTTTGCAATCTCATTTGGAGCAGATTTGGAAAAAATCCCTCTGATGTGCTAGCCTAGCTCATGAGTCTTTTTTTTCATGCTTATCAATCATTCTCACACTGAACTTGTGGCAATCACTTTTTCTTTAGTAAATGTGAGTGTCTCTGAGGACATTAAATTCTTCCCCATTTCAGCACCTCAGATGCCTCTCAAATTTCAGAGACAGCACCTAGGAATGCCCCCAGCCAAAAAGAATTGGGACTGCACTTGGGAACTCTAAGCTGTTTATGTTGTTCTTACACTCTTCCTTATCCAACAGCTGAATATAACTGGATAAAGAATATTGGGACAGATTTGATCTTCAGTCTCATTAATTTAATGTCATTTTGGGCAAAGCAGTGAAAAGAATTGTTGTCTGGAAAGCAAATGGAACAGCAAAGAGCAGGAAGGAAGATCTTACTGTGATGTCTACCTGAACTAGTCAGCACTCATCAGCTCAACTGGATATGTGTCTATCTGGGAATCACAGGGTTCTCCTCCACCTTCACAGCTTTGGAAACCAGCAACAGCAGCAAAGATTTTAGTAATTCTCTCACAAGACAAGTAATTCTCTCTGAACTCGCCTAAATTCCAATCTGGCTCAACAAACATTAACTAGTGAAGGAAAATAAACAAAAGCTATTTTCAAACTGATTTTTTTCTGTCAAAGTGAAAAAAAAAGAGTTCAATATACAAATACAAATATGTTTTGACTGGGTTTTTCAAGTAGCATTCTGGCAGATGGCAGGTATTTTCTATTATTTTTTCTAAGCAGCAGTGCACCACCCGGACTGTGCTTCCTGAGGAGGTGTTTCTATTACCAGCTGCTAAAGACTAAATCTGTGATAAACACCAGACTCTGATAAATACCACTGCTAACAGAGCAGAGCAAAGGAAAAGGCATTATTCCTTCAATGGTCCAGTTAAGACCACTCTATCCCTTTCTCCACATAGAAGCTACCCACACAACAAAACTGGGTGACCTATGCTGTTTGAATAGAGAGTTAATCCAGTTTTCAGACAGCAGACAATTCTCAAAGTCACTGCTCTTACTGCTAGCACAGAGACCTGTGGCAGGATTTTGTGAATACAACCATGTGCCTTTGCTTCTATTGTGGCAACATACATCAAACAGAGATGAAAAAGAGCTGGTCAGCTCTTTTGAGAAGCCTGTCTTCCACTGATCAGATGCACAGCCTTTCTGGATGAAATTGCTGACAATTTATACTAGGTGACATAATACCAAGCTAAAAAAAATAAAATTCAAAGGGCTTACTGAGATGTAAGCAACACTGTCCTGTGACAGCAAAAAGAGCAACACCCAGAGTCCTGCAGCAAACTCCTCCAGCAGTTTCACTTGTGATTTCACAGAGATGACTCAAAATTAGCCCACTGATTTTGACATTCTGTCACAGAGCACAAATTATCCCACTCCAAATCCATACACAACCTGCACCACAGAAAAAGAAAGCACTGTGGCCATAACTTAATGCCAGTTACAAATTTGAGTTAAATGACCACTATGTGAAGAGGGAAAGAAATAAAAATGGGCATAAGCAGGCTAAATTAATATTGAGAATAATAAATCAGATGAAGAACATGGAGAAGGTGAATGAAGGAGTTCTGTACTGGGTTGAACAATTTTAACAAAATATTCTGGAAATATTTTTATATGGTATAGAGGATAAAAGCATTTTATTCTATCCACTTTTTAGAAATTCTTGGCTAAAAATTGTTTATCAGCTTTCTATAAACACAGAATACGACAATTTAAAAAAAATAATTCCTTTTCACTTTTTATGTGTTTTTTAATGGCACCTGATGATCAACCTTTTAGTTACAGTAGCTGGTTTTCATTACACAGTATAATTATAGTGGAAGAAAAGGTAAATTTTTCAGTTGCCATGTTCTTCTAGTCTGACACGGAGTATTTAGGTTTTTTCAAGGGATGTTAACAGAGGCAGAACAGAGAACAAAGAATTCCAACTGCTGCCCTCTTTCTCTGAAAAACCACCCTCTCACTGCCCAAAATCTAACACACAAGAGCTTTTTAATTTTGTACGTTTAATCAAAATATTTTCCTCCTCTCTTATTGACTTGATTATCTACCTCTACATGTTCGATTTGGGTGAAAATCTCATGTACCATGTACAGTGTGTCTAAGACTCCCTTTGGAAATGGAGCCTTAAAAAACACTGCTGAAGGCAAAGATGGCAAAAACGAAACACAGAGGAAAATAAAAGTTAATTTTACATACCTAACTGCTGTAAGACAGTTGCTTTTACTTGTGCAGGAAGGTTTTCGATCTGCAAAAGCTGTTCATAAGCTTCCTTTGCAGAGTGATACTTTCTCTGCAAAAGGAAAAAAGTAAAGGGATTAATCATAGAGCTTACAACAGATCACCAATAGCAACGATTTCACAGCACTGACAGCACACAAACACATTGACAAAAAATTCTAGAATTTTTTTTTTTGCATACAGTGCATATGAAAGCTTTAATGAGTGATGTGTATATATGGTAAGAGAATAACTTCTACAAATATAGTATTTAATAGAAACTGTCTACTTAAAAGAATTGAGGGAAAATTGCAAATTATTAAAATTTTGTCAACTCCTCATACATGCATTATCCTTCTTACACTACAATATTGAATATTCTGCTTTTAAGGGGAATACTTGAATGTGAATCTACATCTGAGAAAACCCCACATAAATTCCTCCCAGGAAATTTGTAACAAAAACCAAGATCCATCAGTAATTTATGACTGGTATAATTTTGCCTCTTTCCTTCCTTTGGTATATATTTATTTGAACTGCCTCTTTCAAGATATTTGTTGTCCTGGTAAGAGTCCCACCACGTGTAGAATTAAAAGATTTATGCCTAGATAATGAAGGTACAACATCTTATTATCTGCTGTACAGTTTAGGTGTGCCTACAGTCTAGAAATCCTCAGTTTTCAATTCCCTACACAAACAGGTACAGGAAACACATTTTCAGGTCAGGACAGGGGGTCCTTATTGCCTTTTGCAAACTGTATGAGCTGTTTTGTGTATATTAAATTATTTGATATATAGAATTATTTGATGAATTATTTGGTAGTAATGTCAGCATTTATCTTTATGTTCCCTAACAACAGTTGCTTAAAGTGAATGTATTTTAAATGTTCCACTGTTCCATGCCTCCTCTTCCACAAACATGCTTTTAGGTAATTCAACATTAGACTTCATTCTGGCAAAGAGATGAAGAGTGCATTAAAAAATAAATGCAGCCACCTAAATGCAAACGACTGTGGCTTAATTACATTTGTTTTAAGCAAGGAGAACACAGTAATCAGTATTGGTGTTTTGAAGGGACAACTGGGAAGAAAACTAAACAATTAAATACCTAGTAGAATTTAGAAATGTTATCAAGTTGTTGAAATCTCAAAATCACAAAAGACAAATTGGTGATTTAAAAACCTTATTCTAGTCAGGAAGAAAAATTAAAGCAGCAATTACATACTTTCAAATGGAACAAGGGGAAGTTGGTAGAAAAGATTTTTAATTGGTGTTCATGAAATGCAGACAACTGGTAAGAAAACAAATAATATAAATAAATAAAATATCCATGTCCAGCAAAAGAAAAACAATCAGGAAAAGATTTTAAATTTAGCACTGGGAACAAAATTTGTAGTTTATGACTATGAATGTTGAGCAAATGAACAGAAGTTCACTTTAGAGGATGACAGTGAAGGCAGCAATCCAGATGTCAAATTAGGTAAATATTAGTGCCTAATATTCACACTTAATTAAAAAAATATGTTTACAGGCTCAAGAGGTTTTAGAAAGGCCTTTTAAAATAGAGCACATTTTCCAGACCTAGGTTATTTTTTACTTTTGTTATTTGTTTTAGCATTTACCCTTTAGAAATCTGATTACGTATATGCCTTAAAATACCAACAAAACCTGTCCCCATGTTTACATTTGGTTTTATTTCATCAAATCAGCATGGTTTGGAAAGTACCTAAAAGATCATCTAATTCCAACCCCCTGCCATGGGCAGGGACATCTTTCACTAAATGAGGTGGCTCAGAGCTCTGAGCTGGCCTTGGACACTCCCAGGGACAGAGCACCCACAGCTTCTCTGGCAGCCTGTCCAGGGCCTCACCACCCTCACAGGGAAGAACTTTATGCCTCTATGCTCATTCCAAAGTCCTAGATGTTTGACTGCATCATGAATGGCCTTAGAAATGGAAAAGGGGAGGAGAACCCAATCCAGCATCCTTCTTTAGACACTGTACAAGCCATCTCACTTCCAGAGGTGAGATATTAGAAACCAGCATTAACCACTGCTACTGCTCATCAGCACCAGGCTTGTCTCTTGTCCAGAGCCTGGCAATCCATCCTTTAAAGTGCAGTATTGTGGTACTGAATTAAGAAATGAATTAACTTTTTCATTAATATTAAGAGAGTATATAATTTTCAAGTATATGGAGGGGTTCAAACACTGTTTCACTGTGTCCCGTAAAAGAAACCAAGCAACCAGCCTGTCTCCAAAACCTCTCTAATTGTGTCAGAGATAATATGCAGAATGAAGCCAGGACTCTTTTGGTTATCAGTCTGTCAAATTCCAGAAAACAAGATACCTCTCCCAGCCAGAACTGTGGGACAAACCAAACCTAAGAGCAGAATGCACTGAAACTTTTCTGCTCTGACTCGCATTAAAAGGAAGTTCCTGCTGTAATTGTCAGCCAGAAAGCTCAGCCTAAGCACAGCTACCACTGATCACACTCTTACACAGGACACCTGGCACAGTGATCTGGGGTGGTTAACTTCCTTCTGATCTGCTGGAGTAAAACAGAACTCATGTGCTGAATGGAATCTGGATGGTAGCCAAGTAAGAACCACAACAATCCACGGATTTGCTTCATGGTGCTTTGGGATGGCAGATTTCTGTCCTGTCATACAACTTTGCACCAAAAGCACTCAAAAGAAAAAAATTCTGTTTATCAGATTCATGTATTTTATTTCTATAGAAATACTTCAGGCCATTTTTCACTGTGCCATCAAAAGACAGTACTTTCTAACTGACTGAAAATATAGTTTGTCTGTTATCCATTTCATTTGCAACAGGTTTTGTTTCTATTCACATCCCTTCCTCAGTCATATGATACCTATAAATGTGTCAAAAGGGCACAACATCTACATTATGTAACCAGTCAGTCAAATCTCAAATACACCATAGCTGTCTGAGTAGCCACTTGGTTTCAATTTATTTATATTCTGGAAGCTCAGGAAGTGTTCTGTAATTTCCCAGAAGATTCACCTGAAAAGCTCTGTGGTAGGATTTGACCCAGAATTAGTAACACAGCTTTATTTGCTGTTGTCCACAGATCCCTAATGCCACATGCATCAATTTGATTTGAAAATTTAAAAACTTTTAAAATTGCACTTAAATTTGAAAATTTCATGTCAGATATACCAAATATACTTAAAAAGCACATGGGCAGCTGGTTGGGATTGATTCTGTGTGTGTATATGAGAAACAATATGAATATATAGAACTAAATTGAGAAACTTCATCTTTTTAAATCTACATATAATCTTTTAAACATAAATAGAATCTCATAAAAGAATTTTCCTCAAAGTTGTATTTTGTGATTTTTTTTGCATTTAAATTGAGAGATCAGTAAATTTATGTTTATTAAGATATCTAGTCCATGACACTCCACACAAAAAATACTTTAATTTAGCCAAAGCAAGTTAAGTTTCTCAATTAATTCAAGACTTTGGTCAAACTTTACTAAAGCATCTACAATCCAAATTTCTCAGACTGATTACATCACATAGTTTGAAACTCAACCACAATTTATGAAAATGAGCTTAAAAGCTTACCTGGATTTCATATAAGTGGGCAATGTGAAACTGAACTGTAAGAGTGGGAAAATCAAAATTATTAGTTTTAATGAACAACAGCAATTGCAGTGTTTTGAAGTGAGGGATAAACAATGTTTCAAATTTATCAATGCAAACCCAAGACAAATTAGGTTTTGAAGATACCAAAAGTATTTTTTTACATTGATATTTTACATTTAATATACCAGACCTGACAGAAAATGAATATCCTAACAAAGCACAAAAACTGCAAACAGCTATTGAGAAAAGCAGTCCATGGATTTTATTTGTATTCTGAAACAGAGAGTCCATTAACCTTTCAGTAAACTTAGCAATAAAATCTCTTGAAGCTGAGGTAAGAGAACACAAGGTAGTATTTTCTGTACATATCTAAGCTAGAAATAAACATTTTCATTCTGCTGCCAAGAAACAGACTAGCTGGGTTGCAGAACATTATGTTACACACTGCCAGTTTTATATGGGATCTTAAATTTAGGTGTTTTTTCTTCCTTTTAGGAATTGCCTTCCCCTTGTTAAACTGAATCAGAAGTGTTAATTACAGATGATACTTTGATTGTTACTGTTAAGCATTTTCAATTTCTCATACAAATTGTCTAGAATGCCATAAATACCACAAGCAGCCTGTGCAGGCAAGATTGCTGGCTGGAGAAAGAAAAATGGGTTGTTCAAGAGTAAAAGCACAGAGAAAATTACCCTCACACTGCTCAAATCATCACAGAAAAGACTTGAGAACTGCTAACCTGGACTATCCATGGAATGGTAGATAGCTAAAGCTAATTGAGATGAATGTAATCCTCATTCTGCTTTGATGAGGAAAGAAAAGTTCCTTTGAGACAGACTTTTGCTCCATGTTCGGAGGATTACAAGTAAGAAAATACCTGTGGTTTGAGCCAAGCTCAATTTATTTCAATTACACAGATTCTCTCCCTTGAAGCTACAGGAAAGTGTGACACCAAATTACCATACAAACAGGTAATATGGAGTTCAGGGCTTCACTCTGGGTCATAAAGGAGGGAAAATCTCCCTTTGTGCACTGCTTTGTCCTCTGCTGTAAAGAAGGAAGCCGAGTGCACTTTGGAAACCAGGTCAGAATGAAATGCATCATCTAAAATTTTAATAAACTTTTTGTGTTCCTTGCTAAGGGGCACATAACACGCCCATTATGTTCACTGCATCATCAAACTTCACTCTGTACTGATGAAACAAAAGCCCTGCATTTGTTTCAGGAGTTCATTATCTAAAAATTTCTCTCTTATTTTTTTCGCCTCCTAACAAAACCCTTTCAGTGTGAAGCTCCAAAATGAAGTGATGCCTTGGAGGGAAAAGGAAAATTAAAGGTGTCAGATTAGAGACTGCCTAAATAGGAAGAAGAGATGCTTAGTACTCAAACATTTCTGCTGGGAACACACTCAGTGTTAATGCTGCTGCTCACCCAGCCCTTAGAAATGCAAGGGGGAGGATTAAATGGAGCATTTAGTGAGGGTACCCAACACCCTGGGGCTGGGCAGGGCGTTCAGTTCTCCTCCCAGAACAGCACAGTGGGACCTGGCCAAGCCCCTCTCAGTGCTCTTCACCCTCCTCCTCTGGGTTGGTCAGGCACTGAAGCCTTTACATGGGGCCAGCCCTCTGTCACAGACACATTTTATGAAAAATCCTTTCATTAGGGTCTTTTCTCCTGAGAAGCCTCAGAAAAGAAATGTAAACAATGGTTATCTGCTGCTGTGGAATGCAACAGGTGGAGCTTTGATTGGTCTCATGTGGTTGTTTTTAATTAATGGCCAGTCACAGTCCAGCTGTCTCGGACTCTCTGGTCAGTCACAAGATTTTATTATCATTCCATTCCTTTCCTTTCAAGCCTTCTGATGAAATCCTTTCTTCTATTCTTTTAGTATAGTTTTAATATGTCATTTTCTTTTCATATCATATACATAATAAAATAATAGATCAGCCTTCTGAAACATGGAGTCAGATCCTCATCTCTTCCCTCGTCCTGGGACCCCTGTGAACAGCACCACAATTGGTGACCCCAGGTGAGGAAAACTTCCAAGCCCTCTACACAAATCTGGGGGCAGAGGGGACTGGAGGGGAAAGGTTAGGAAAACCTTACAGAAATTCAGAGGTTTAATGAAAACCCATAAAGTTAGTGAGAAAGAATATGAACAAACATGGAATACAATAAAGAATCACATGTCTGGTAGAAAAGTAATAAAAGCCTATTGACTCTGGGAGAATTCTGCAAATTTTTACAAAATTATCTGTGCCTGTTGCTGATAAGTAACAAAGCTTTGAAGACAGCCTTGAAGCACAGCTGGCTCCTTGATACAGCCAGTGGTTTCAGCCACGTGAACAAACTCCCTTTCACTACCTTGCTGGTACAATACTCACAATTCCATCCAGTTTTTATAGAAATGCTTTAAATATTACATCCAATGCCTCTGAAGTGAGATTTTGGAGGTAACTTAAGCTCAAGCATGAAGGTATCTTAAAAACTGAAGGAGTAATTTCCTTCACAACTCTCTGCCTTTTAATTCTTACAGACTCCAAAACACAGAGAAACAATGTTTATTCTTGTATACAATTTCACTAATTATGGAAAAACACCTGCAGGACACTCTGTTACAGCCTACAGAACCTTCTGCCTATGACTGATCACTCTGCACTAAAGATTAACATGTTGAAATACAGACTAATATATAGTTGATATCATTAAAAAAAATCGAAAAATCAAATATGGAGGGTTTTTTTCTTATTTCTACAGTAAGGTTGATGCTGAATTTTGGATCTATAAATTTAAATGTCATGGAAGTAATCACTGAAAAGTTACAGATTATCAAGATCATGCAAACTTTAAAATAATTGGTATTAAATGTGTGCCACGGCACAAGCTCCAGGTTTATAAATATCTAAAAAGCAGTCAAATAATAAGTTTCCTCCAGAATTCAAGCCTTCAGAGTAATGAATAAGCCAAGTCTCAATTTTTACTTATTCCATTTAGTAAAGCAATCCACAATTCCTCTAGAACATCTGTCTCCACTGAGAGAGAGACAGGTTTTGTAGTCTCCCTCTCTCAGTACCAAATATTTTGATTTTGAAGACCTGGTTCATTAAAAATTCATACAGTTGCAAGCATAAGACTTAAAAAAAAGATCCACAACAAAATAAATACATATTGGTTACTTACTTTCAGCGTTAGACAAAGTGCAGGGATTGCAGTCAATCAAAGCTAACTGAAAATGCTGGAAAGAAAAAAGAATTATTTGCTTTTCAAACAAAGTAATACTATCACTTGGGCAAACTACTAAGAGTAAATCAATTTTGTACTTGAAAATCAATACTGCATTTTACCATGTGTCTTAAAAAAACCAGTTTTCAATTTCTGTTCAACTGCTTACTAGAGGAAAGTAAATTTTTTTTATTGCAAACACTTCAATGCTTCTAGGAATGTAAGATAGCAACAGATCTTCATAAAACAACTGGGGTTGCATCTGAAACAATGAAGGCATCAAATGAATGGTCAAAATTGGAAGATGAAGTTTTTATACACACAACTGGGACTGCAGAGACACCAGCTCACAGCCTCATGGAGATAAATACTCAAGCACTCAATCCATCTAGAAAAACAGAACACTCTCCCTACAAACTGAGCCATTTTTAGTTTTTAAAAATTTGAACTCTTGTCAAAAAGAATTTAATATGAATACCTCTTCATTAGAACATAAGTTCATAAGGAGGTCATAAGTTCTCACATCCTCTCCTCCAGATGTTGAGAAAATTTCAGTTAAACATTAAAGTTTGTATAATTTTAATCACTTTAAGGAATACAAAAAATATCTTTTAAAACATTCTAGGTTCTGAGGTAAGGTTTTCACTCATCTATAAAGAAGGTCACAAGAGCAGAGCAATGAAGTCTGTCTGCAACATCATGTTAATTCACTGATCACTATTTAATTTGAGACACAAGTGTATAAAAATGAATGGAACAGGCACAGAAACTCCAGTGCCTGAGCTTTTCCATAAACTTTTGAGAAAATCCCCATATGGTGTGAAATTTCCACTGACATATTAGCTCAACAGAGAATAAGGCCTAGGAACACAGGAGCCTAAGAGTTACCCTATGAGATACTACTGTTAATGAATACAGTTATTTACAAAATACAGTGTCAGGTGATTTCTAATACACAAAACATGACTGACACTTTAGTACACTTTATTTTTTCTTAGCATAAAAGTGATAATTTAGATCAAACTAATACATTATATAATATTATAAATATTATAGCATGCCAAACTAGGTGGCACTGGGAGCCTACTGCAGTAGCTGGGAAGAAAAAAGGTCTGTATCAATGGATAGGTGCAACACTTTCAGTATTGTACTCAGAGCCATTAGATGCTACTTAGCTTTCCTCATGGTGATAATAATTGCTTGAGTACAGTATGTCTATACAAAACACATCTCTAAGATGTCTAAGATTTTATCAGATCTTCACATTTCCAAAAAAACCCTAATTTTAATAGGGACAAAAAATTCAAAAATTAATATATTATCCATAGCAAGACATAAGAAGAATGCTGACATTTCCATAAGCTCTGACATACACTGATGCAGCTTCCTCCTCACTCCCTTCATCAAGATAATTTGTAACATTTAACAGCATTTAAAAAATGAACCAAACTGAAGTTAAATAACAACACAAATTCATGATTTATAAAGAACATTTTAGCAATATCCCCCCAGAAGAGAACACAAAAACCAACGGATTCACACCATAAAGTAACTTTTTAACCTTAACACAAGCATCAAATAATAGCTTACAAATATTAAATATTAGGTTATTTCTCTGCTGTGTCTGTTCCTTTCCCTACTGCTCAGCAGGCAGACAACTTACAGTCTCCCCTCACTTACATTGCAATGCAGGTTGAGTGCCTCAGAGACATCCTTTAGTCTGTTACCATAGTGATCCTACTAAGCAGACAACTTTAAAAAAAAAACCCCTAAATAAAAATAAAATGCTCTATCTTAAATTGCATTTTGCCTGCCAAAAGAAAAAAAAAGGCTCTGGCCTGTACAACTGAGTGTTACTGATCTAAAAGGTACAAAATCCTTCCTGTACAGATGTGTCATCTTGCACCATCACTTACAATTACTATGGAAAGATAAAGCAGAATGGAACAGATTTGCTCTCACCTAGCAATGCTATTAAAAAAAATAAGCAGATCTAAAGAAAAAAGATTGACAACTGTTCTGTAGCAGCTCTTCTGAAGGGTTACTGCAGTGAGACTCACTGAGAGAAAGCAGGCAACCATGCAATAGCTAACCATTTTAATATACAAGTATGCCAACAGTATCAAGTGCTATACAGTAAAAAAAAAAGCAGAAATATTCTCCACAATGCCTCCTAAAAAATTAAATATTCACTGTTACAGTAGCCAACTTTTGAAATTCAAAAATCCACAACATGAAAATTTTCTTAGTGTGATAAATTTCTATTTGCACTGTTCACTAATCTACAAACGGTAAAGAAATTGATAAACCAAAGCCAGTGACTACAGAAAAACACACCATTTGCACCAGACAGTAATCACAATTAAAAGCAATACACAGAAATCCCAGAACCTTTCAAACCAAGAACCTCTGAAATGCACACACACGAGCAAACCTACACCTCGTGCCGGATAAATAATACACAGCTCCCCGTTAAGTACCCAAAATCAAACAAAAAAAACCCCCATGCACACATTCTAACCCATCAACCTCAAATGAAGATCCACTAATCACAATTACCAGCACCAAAAAAATTAAAAAATAATAATAATTTCCAACTTCCATTTCTGCAACCAACAGCAGCGGCTGGCAAACATCTGCACCCCTCTCAAATATTGCAGCACTGAGCTGGCTACTGCTGTGGAATAGTTGTTATGCAGGAGAGGCCGCTGCAGCTCAGAGACGACACACAATACCTCAAGGCAGACAGCAGTCTATAGAAATTCAAATCCCCAGTAAGAGGATTTACCTAGAAGGCAGTGTTCTGAATGTTAAAAACTAACAGGCTCTTCTCAAGGGCTGCGGCTCAAGGCACAATCAACAGAATCGTTTAGGTTAGAAAAGACTTCTAAGATCAGCCAAGCCCTAAATCACCTTGATTTGTAGCCATCTGTAATTGCAGAGTTATCTGCAGCCCATTCCATCTCCTCTGGAGTCCTTGACTTGCCTCTGATTGTGGAAACAATTCCGAGGATAACCTTTCCAAGGAGGAGAGGTACAGTGGATTCCATATAGAGAGAACTGATGAAAGCACTAGGTCTGGTAGTAAAGTAACAGTAATCGGATGCTGATTTAGGTAACTTAACATGCTGTCTCTCACAGAATTAACAGCGATGCTTTCAAATGTAACAGGCAAGTACCCAAGGTTTTGTTGTTTCTTTAATCAATAAATGACAAAAGCAAAACGAACCCTTTTCAGTGCAAGATTTTCAGTACTGTCTCTGTTTACACATGCAAACCTGAGACCTCTGTAGTGATTCTACTCCCTCCTCCTCTCCAGGGTGACATCAGCAAGTTTAATAGTTCTCGGCTCTGCACATACTCAGCAAGCAAGGCAAGCCATCCTCTGAAACCTGACAATCCTCACCGACTTACCATGAAGGAAAGCTCCATCATGACTCAGTAAAATTCTGTCAGGAGATGGCTTTTTCTGCCTGTGTGACCTAGGTGTGATGCCCGTGTTGCTCAGAGCAGCTTTTGTTCAGAGAAGTAGGACACGGAGAGCCTTGTGTAACCAGCTGGGGCAGGGTGCCAAGCCTCCATTTGCCAGGCATCTCTGGGACCAGGGGAGAGGGTCAGGAGAGGACACGCTCTGTGTGCGGCTACAGCAGCTCATCCTGCTGCTCTCCACTGTTTTCTGAGCTCAGAACAAATTCAGCTCACAACAGAAAGGTTTGTGTAGTGTAAACACTCAGGTACTTTTGTCCAACATTCAAAAAAAAGCCAACTTATAGATAGGAGAAAAAAAAACCCTGCTGGAGGACAGAAGGAACAAAAGCCACATATACAAATACTGAATAGCAGCGGTGCATTCTGAAAAATCTCGTCCTGACAAGCTCTAAGAGAAAAATGATTTTCAAACAGAAAGATCACACAAGCTGTATGTTTGCAAGCCATAAAAAGGCTGCCTCTGAATTTACTGACCAATATCTTATACAGTGATTTTCACAAAGCTATCTCAACACTCCCACTTGCCTCCACCTTTTATGCATTATTTCTGCAACATCAGAATTCAGCTATTCCTGTGCTAACAGCCTGACAGACTGCCAGCAGCAGGGGAATGTCACAGGGACGGGGGTGATTGGGAGCTGCTGCCACTGCTGCAGCACCAGCACTGAGCGCCCCAGCCGGGGTCGTGCCAGGACTCAGCCTCCAGCCCCCACAGCTGCAATGAAAGCTCAGCTCAGTCCTTGCTGGCGACCTGTGGCTACACTCTGAGTATTTTCTGAGTATTGTGTGGCCAGCAGGAGCAGGGAGGTCATTCTTCCCCTGTACCTGGCACTGGTGAGGCCACACCTTGAGTGCTGTGCCCAGTTCTGGTCCCTCACTTTGGGAAGGATGTGGAGATGCTTGAGCACGTCCAGAGGTGGTGCAACGAGGCTGGTGAGGGGCTTGGAACAGAAGCCTTGTGAGGAACATTTGAAGGAGCTGGGGTTGTTCAGCCTGGAGAAGAGGAGGCTTAGAGGTGACCTTATTGCTCTCTACACCTTCCTGAAGGGAGGCTGCAGACAGGTGGGGTTGGTCTCTCCCACCAGGCAGCACTGACAGAACCAGAGGACTCAGTCTCTAGCTACATCAGGGATGGTAAGGTTGGATATTAGGAAAAAATTTTCACCGAAAGAATAATAAAGTACAGGAATGCTCTTCCCAGGGAGGTGGTAGAACCACCATCTCTGAATGTGTTTAAAAAAAGCCTGTCCATGGCACTGGGTGCTATAGTCTGGTTGAGGTGTTAGGGCATAGGTTGGACTCAATGATCTTAGAGGCCTCTTCCAACCTCACTATTCTGGGATTCTGTGATTTCTGCATGCCCTGAATGCCAACCCTGCAGTTAGAGCTACATCTGATGAAAGTGGCTCTGATCTGTCTGGATGGAGGTGTCTCTTCAGGAGCAGGTCCACGAATGAAGCTCACCACAATCAATGAATATCCTGAGCTGGAAAGGACCCAGAGGGATCTCTGAATCCAACTCCT